CATTACAGACACAGAAGCCCCTCACGCCACCTCCCCAGACCCTCAAGGACAACCATTCTCCGGACTTCTAACACCATAGAGCAGTTGTGCCTCGTTTTGAACTTTACTTACATGTTTTTTTTTTTTTTATTGATTTATTAACTGTAATTCTGTGTGCATATTCCTTTAGCTTTTCTATGTACACAACCATGTTGTTTGCAAATATTGATAGTTTCTTCCTTTGTAATTCTTTTTTTTTGCGGTATGTGGGCCTCTCACTGTTGTGGCCTCTCCCGTTGCGGAGCACAGGCTCTGGACACGCAGGCTCAGCGGCCATGGCTCACAGGCCCAGCCGCTCTGTGGCATGTGGGATCTTCCCAGAACGGGGCACGAACCCGTGTCCCCTGCACCGGCAGGCGGATTCTCAACCACTGCGCCACCACGGAAGCCCCAACTTACATGTTTTAATGGAACCCTACATTGTGCATTCTTGTGTGTCTGGCCCCTTTCACCGAAAAGTATGCTTGTGAGATTCATCCATGTTGCTGGATGAAGTTGTAGTTTGTTTATTCCTATTGTTGTGTCGTATTCCACTCTATGACATCTTGTTCCACGATTGATAAGCATTAGGATTTTTCCAGTTTGGGGATATTATGAAGTAGTGATGCTTTAAACAGTCTTGTATGTATCTTTTGGTGAATATTTCTGGTGGATATTTACATGGGAGTGGAATTGCTAAGTCTGAGGGTAAAACACTGGCATTGTAAAAAAGCTCCCTGGGGGATCCTGAGGTGCCCAAAAAGTGGAGAAACCCTTCTCTCCGCTAGAGATTATACCTTGAGGAGCACCATGAAGTTACAGTAAGTTCCCTACATACGAACCTTCAAGCTGTGAACTTTCAAAGATGCAAACGTGGAGCTTACTAATGAAGACCTGGTGGAACTGGAGGCCCAGAGAAAGGATGAAGAGAGACAAGAGAAAGAAGTAACTGAAGAACCGAAGAGATTCACGACACAGGAAATGGCAGGGGGATTTTCTTTATTTGAGGAAGGACTGTTAGTTTCTGAGGCACAGCACCCGAACATAGAACAGTACACGAAGGTTGCAGCAGCTGTTTAGAATGCAATGCAGTGCTACTGTGTTGTCCGTGGCGAGAAAAAAACAGCTACTACCCAGACATCACTGGATAGTTTTTTCAAGAGGGTAGAATTGAATCCAGCAAGGAACCGGAACCTGTGCCATCAGCGTCAGGCATGAATGAAATTCAGCCTGCCCTCCGTCTCCTATTGCTGAGGATCCTTCAGCTCTGCCATCTCCCACCTCCTCTCCCTCCTCCAGTCAGTAACTCTTCTTGCCTGTTCACTCGATGCCGGCCCGTGTGCCAGCTGTTATACTGTACTGCTGTACTTTTCAAGGTACTGTACTGTAAGATTAACAATGTTTTCTTTATTTTTTGTGTTTGTTTTTATGTATTATTTGGGTGAAAAGTATTATAAATCTATTACAGTACAGTACTGTATAGCCGATTGTGTTAGTTGGGTGCCTAGGCTAACTTAGTTAGACTTACAAACAAATTGGACTTACAAACGTGCTCTCTGAATGGAACTTGTTAGTATGTTGGGGACTTACTGTATTTCTTACAATACAATCTACCAGTCACTGGCACCTAAACCAACTCAAATTCTTGTTAAAAATGAAGATTCCTGCATCCACTGAACCAAAATGGGGAGGGGGGATGTGGTCCTTGGGAATCTACCTTTTTAACAACCCCCCCAGGTGATTCTTACACACATCTAAGTTAGAGAACCACTGTATTATATCATATTGCAAAGAAGTCAGATCAGACCCAGTAGTATTTCTCCACCCAAGACCTTTTGAAACTGATGAAAATGCAACAACTAAATGGAATGATGGTTTTAATTGCTTTCAGTGAGGATTTATGGGTAAGACCTACTCCTCTCAGGCATTGTTAATTTTGAAAGTTTGCTACAAGAATGGAGATAAAGACGTTTATAAGCTTTTGTAGCTCATGAAAGCACTCTTTGGTTGGATTGCTTATCTCTGGGGCTGATAAAATATGCTTCATTTACTCACATAAAATGAGAGGCATGAGATGGGTCTAAGTCAAGGCCGTAGCAATCTTATCTGTGATGGACAAAGAACACACGCAGGTTTTCTGCCAGGAATGATTTCGTGTGTGTGTGTGTGTGTGTGTGTGTGTAACACAAACAACCACCAGAAGTGCTTTCCAGGCCTGTTCAGTCTCTACCCAGCCAGAGAGGAGTCTTTCCCTCTGGCATCCCCACACCCTGAGAACGGGACTCTTCTGTCTCAGCTGGTCTCTGCTTCCAGGAATCCAGCTCCCACCTGGAGGTTCCTTTGTAATTGGTACTTAATGCGTTAGTTCCTCTGAGCCCAGCTTCTTATCCTACACAGAAAATACTCTAGCTTCCCAACCAGCCCCATTCTACTCCCGCTCATGCAGTTTCTAATGTGCTTTCTACGTTTTTTCCAGTAGGCTGTTTGCCCAGGCTCCTTCAAGAACAACCCCAGGCCCCTTCTTTTCTTAACATCCCAGCTCTGTGTAAAGCTCTTAGCTCATTTCCAGCTGAGCCCCAGCCATAGAGCAGGCCCACACCCAAATTCACTGGGTATTATGTTTCACGCCCACACAGCAAGGACCTTAGTATAACATTTGTGGGCCCTGGACACTTGTGCCTTTATGAGCCCCTTCTCCCATCATATATTTTAAAGTATATTTTATGACTGAGGTGGTATAAAGCCCGGATTTATGATTATATTGGGCTGGCCGAAAAGTTCGTTCTGGTTTTTCTGTAACATCTTAAGGGAAGATGTTACAGAAAAACCCAGCCCAATATATGTATTATTATATTCATGTTTTCCTCCTGAGTTTTAAAGAAATTAAAACATCTTTGTGGGTCCCTAAAAAATATCATGGGCCCTAGACCCTGTGCCTGCTGGGCCTCATGGATATGTGGGCCCTGCACATAGCCAGTTTCAAGACAGGACAGCCTCATCCTTATGACAGGGTTCATTTTGGGGGGAAGTTTTAGGTTTACAGAAATTATCCGTACATTATTATTAACTAAAGTCCATAGTTTATATTAAGGTGCACTCTTTACGTTGTACGTTCTACGTATCCATCATTAAAATACCATACAAAGTATCTTCACTGCCCTAAAATTCCTCTGTGCTCTGCCCATTCATCCCTACCCCTTTCCCCTCCAACCCCTGACAATCACTGATCTCTTTACTATCTCCATAGTTTTACCTCTTCCAGAATGTCATACGGTAGGAATCATACAGTGTGCAGCCTTTTCAGGTTGACTACTTTCACTTAGAAATACTCATTTAAGTTTCCCCCATGTCTTTTCATGGCTTGATAGCTCATTTCTTTCTTTGCCGGTATCCATCGTATGAGTATATCACAGTTTGCTAACCCATTCACCTATTGAAGGACATCTTGGTTGCTTCCAAGTTTTGGCAGTTCTGAATAAAGCTGCTGTAAACATTCATGTGCAGGTTTTTGTGTGGACATAAGTTTTCGGCTCATTTGGGTAAATACCAAGGAGCAAAATTTCTGGGTCATATGGAAACAGTATGCTCGGTTTTATTCTTAGGATATTTGTTTTTCCTGAAACCTTGCATTTACTTTTTACACATCCAGCGCACCTGTCCAAGGTATCAAAACACCTGCTGTGATTTTCTCTGAAGTGTGTGCTTGCTCCCACAATAAGAAGGCTTCCCCCTCAGCCCCAGCATTCCTTTTCGACTCCATCCTGCTGACAGGTCCATGGGGCTTCTAACTACATGGCCTCTTTATTGCTGTCTGAGGGATGCTATTTCACTGATGAAAACAGGGGAGAAACAAGATCTAAAGGGCCCATTTCTGTTCAGTCAGGTTTTTGCTAACAGACCTGAATTAAGTTCCAGAGCCCTAGATCACGTAGAAGTGCAATCGAAGTTTCTGTTTGTTCGTGGTAAGGCAACAAAGTCAGTACAACTGGAAGTTGGAAAGGTGGACTTCTTTTGTGTAAAAGGATCTCAGCTAGAGGAGAGAGAGAGAGAGGGAGGGAGGGAGGGAGGGAAGGAAGGAAGGGAGGGAAGGAAGGAAGGGAGGGAGGGAGGAAGGAAGGAAGGAAGGAAGGAAGGAAGGAAGGAAGGAAGGAAGGAAGGAAGGAAGGAGGGGAGAAAGGGACTCTTCTTGCCTTGTGATTGTTTCCACTGTGAAATGGGGTCTAGAAGAGGAGAGAGGAATAGAAGTGCATCAGTGCTGAAGGTTGCAATTCCAGGCTTAGTTGCGAGATGGCCAAATCATGATCTAAGTCAGCTGTGACTAGTTGGGTAGTCAGCAATACAGAGGACATGACAGAGACTCATGGCATGGCACAGCATAGATTTCAGCCTGCAGGTAGGGGGGTCTTCTGTCTTTGTGTTCTCACTTGTTTGTGAGTTGGCTTTGATTGACTCTTGAAGTGAACATTAACCTCTAGACTGTGGATTATGACATAGCTCATTGGAGTCAATTGGCATGATATTTGCACCTATGAACGGAAAATCTTCAGACTCCATTAATGTTTGTTAAATTATCTACTTCAATATCAGGTAACATATGCATGTCTCATAAACCCACTGTGGCCACTGGGTTTTAGTAAAATCTCGTGAATCCACACAGGGGCATCTTACTATCCCAGCACATAATGATGACATGGCAATGCAAGTATTATTGAATTAGTAAATTCTTTGTGACTCACAGAATACAGAAAGGTGTGTGATCCCTCCTAATATTTCTTCTAGAACCACTTAAACTATGAGCCAGTGAGAAGGGTGATCTTTATTGGATAACTGGGATTAGGAAGGTGTATCAGCTGTTTCTTTGTAAAATATGAGCTCATTATAACAACAACCATTTATTTGCTCATGATTTTGTGGGTTGGCAACTTGGGCTGAAATCCGTCAGTAATCCTGTCTCTGCTCCACGTGGTGTCAGCTGGGCTTACTCATGAGTTCAGCTTCATTTGGCTGCTGGCTGCCAGCGATGACAGCTGAGACCCCCCTCCACACATCCGTCATCCTCCAGGAGGCTAACTTGCACTTGTTCACGAGACAGCAGCATTTTAGGACCTATTCTTAGAACATCTGCAGTGTTAATTCCGCCACATTCTATTAGTCAAAGCAGGTCATGGGGCCAACACAGATTCAAGATGTGGGAAAACAAACTCCACTTCTTGTTGAGAGTTGTTGCAAAGAATTTGTGGCTATTTTTGATCAACGCCAGGAGGTTTAGTAAGAGCTTTGATTAGGTACTTTCCAGCTTCACGGTTTTATACTTTTAAGAAACTGAAGTTCTCTTTTATTTGGTCTGAGGAATATGTATTTATAATAAGTTTTACTTTGTGTAAAATAAATACAAGTTAAGAGAAAATTATTTTATAGAAGAATGAGTGAGGGGCAGTGACCATTTTTCACCCTCTGTAATATTCCCACATCAATGTATCCAAGAGGGAGAGGAAGCAGCAACTCATGTGTCTGTTAGAAACAAGGAGGAAAGGAACAGTCCCAAGAATGGTGAGACACAGAACTTTCTGGGCAGAGGAATAGTATAAGCCAAGGTCCTGCGGTGAGAGACACTGAAATTAATCAGAGGAAGCCAGCGTGTGGACGCTCCAAGAGCAGAGCTAAGGATGAAGCCAGAGAAGTATAAAGAAACCAGATGATGCAGAGCCACGAAGTCATGTTCACAGAGGTAGATTTATGATGGAACTTAAGTTTCAGTTGCTCTTTTTTCTCAATAGACCTTTTTATTTATTATTTTTTCAGATTTATTGAGGTATAATTGACAAGCACAATTATAAGATATTTAAACTGTACAACATGGCAGTTTGATATATGTATACATTGTGAAAGGAGTCTGCTCATTAAGTTAGTTAACATATCCATCATTTCACATATTTACACTTTGTGTGTGTGTGTGTGTGTGTGTGTGAGAGAGAGAGAGAGAAAGAACATTTAAGTTCTATTCTCTTAGCAAATTTCAATTATACAATACAGTGTTATCAACTATAGTCAGCACGTTATACATTAGATCATCAGACCCTATTCATCTTTTTTTTCACTCAGTGAATGTTTATTGTTATTTTTAAGTAAGCTAAAAGTGCTTGTGATAAATGCTAAATTGGAAATGCACAGGTTTCTGGGATAGACAATTCTGGGGCAAGGAGCTGTTACATATCACGTAAACCTACAGATATTTTTAATTGGAGGAATTTTTAAAAATTACTATCAATTCAAAAGAGAGCAAGAAAGACCAAAGAGAAAAAATGGAACTAATAGAAAACAAAAAATAAGATGATGAAAATAAAACCAAAATAGCATTATTAAAATAATCATGACTGGTCTAAAAAACTCAGATATATCATGTTTAAAAGTGCCAACCCTGGAACATAAGACTATATACAAAGGTTCTAAATAAAAGTATGGGAAAATATATATCAGAACAAAGCATACAAAGGAATGAGCTAAAGTCTTTCACAAGGATGCAATAATCAAAATCCAGAATATGGGGAGGTGTATAGGAAAAACAAGACAGTTTTCAATAAATAAAATCCATGGAAAAAAAGAAGTTGGGAGCAGACATCTTAGATTAAAAGAGACATGAGAGATATATTAAGCTATTGCAGTAAAAGGATCTTGTTTGGATTTAAGTTCAAACTAAGCATTTTGAAAGATGAGACAATAAGTGGTATTTGAACAATGATGGATATTTGATGATGTTAAGAAATTCAGACCTTATTCATCTTATAACTGAAAATTTGTACCCTTTTAATAACTTCTTCCTAATTCCCCCACCCCCCAGTCTCTGGCAACCACCATTCTATTCTGTTTCTATGAGTTTGGCTTTTCTCGTAGATTCCATATATAAGCGATACCATGCAGTGTTTGTCTTTCTCTGTCTTATTTCACTTAGCATAATGTCCTCAAGATCCACCCTTGTTGTTGCAAATGGCAGGATTTCCTTCTTTTAAAGCTGAATGGTGTTCCATTTCATGTATGTACCACATCTTTATCCACTCATCTGTTGACACACACTTAGGTTGTTTCCATAAGTTGGCTATTGTGAATAATGCTGCAATCAACATGGGAGTACAGATATAGATATAGATATAGATATAGATATAATTTTTTTTTTTTTTTTTTTTTTTTTTTTTTTTTTTTTTTTTTTTTTTTTTTTTTTTTTTTTTTTTTTTTTTTTTTTTTTTTTTTTTTTTTTTTTTTTTTTTTTTTTGGGGTCCGCGGGCCTCTCACTGTTGTGGCCTCTCCCGTTGCGGATCACAGGCTCCGGATGCGCAGGCTCAGCGGCCATGGCTCACGGGCCCAGCCGCTCCGCGGCATGCGGGATCTTCCCAGACCGGGGCACGAACCCGTGTCCCCTGCATCGGCAAGCGGACTCTCAACCACTGCGCCACCAGAGAAGCCCTACAGATATATTTTTGAGAGCCTGTTTCCATTTTCTTTGGATATATACCTAGAAGTGAGATTGCTGGATTATATGATAGTTCTATTTTTAATTTTTGAGGTGCCTCCATTTCCTTTTCTATTTGGCTGAACCTATTTACATTCCCACCAACAGTGTACAAGGGTTCCCTTTCCTCCACATGCTCACCTTGTGTCCTGTCTTCTTGATGATAGCCATGATCTCTTTATCTCTGATTTTTGATAGGTTAATTATAATATGTCTTAGAGAAGGTCATTTTGCATTGAGATAAGGGTGATTTATTAGCTTCCTGAACTTGGATGTTCATGTTTCTCCTCGGGGTGGGGAAGTTCTTCAGCAATTATTTCTTGAAATAAACTTTCTGCTTCCTTCTCCCTCTCTTCTCCTTCTGGAAATCTGATTATTCTGATATTTGTATGTTTCATTGAGTCCCATAGATCATGTAGGATTTCTCTGCTCTTTTTCATTCACCCTTTGTTCCTCTCTGGGTTATTTCAAAGTTCCTGTTTTCTAGGTAACTTACTCTGTCTTCCTTTTGATCTACTCTGTTGCATTTTTCATTTCACTCATTGAACTCTTCAGCTCCAGAATTTCTGTTTCGTTCTTTTTTTATGATTTATATCTCTTAGTTAAATTTCTCACTTTGTTCATGTATTTTTTTCCTGACATCACTGAATTGTCTTTCTGTTTCTTGTAGCTCATTTACGTTGTCAGAACAGCTATTTTTAGTTCTTTAGCAGCTAGATCACAAGATTTTGTGCCTTTGAGCTCGGTTATTGGAGGATTATTGTTATTTTTTGGTGCAACGTTTCCTTGATTCATCGTGTTCCTTATAGCTTTGCATTGCTGCTTTTGCACTTGAAGTAGCCGACTTCTCAAAGCTTTACTAGTTGCCTTCAAGTGGGGTGTACTTTTCACTGGGGCTATTACATCTGGGGTTTTCTGTCTGCCTTGATATGGATCTACCTGCTCCACACATCTTGCTTTCTTTTGTGGCAGGATTCTTAAGCTTTTCTGTCTTCTCTGGTTCTTAAAACTCACCTGGCTGGCTGCTGAAACGTCTCTTGTTTTCCAGAAGGTGGCGCTATAGCCCAAGTTTGTGGCTTCTCCCTTGCCCACTGGTCTGTTTTTCTGATGGCACTGCTTTTACCAGACTCTCTCGCCACTGCACTCAGAGCCAAGCCAGCAACAGAGTGAGGGGAGGTGTGTGTTTAGTCTTGGGGCCTTGGGGGTGCCTGTGGCTGGCGGAGAGATCCTCAGGGGAGGTGCTCCCAGTGGCTTGTGGGCGAGCTTCCTGCTTGGAGCCCTGAGCTCAGTCAGCAGCAATTGCATCCCTTGAATGGCCTTTGATGTTTTCATCTGCCCCTTTCCTGATCTCCTACCCCCCACCCGCCATGGAGGTCCTGCCTCTGTGCACTGGGTGCTTCTGGAGAGAAATGGGTTTCTCCTGCTGTGTTGCTCACAGCTGGGGGTAGCTGGGCACTCACTACTCCCCTTTCCCCGTGGGAGAGGTCCACGAGGGATAGCTCAGCCCCTTACTGTGTTGTCCTGGGGGGAAAAGCAGCACTGCCCAAGTTCCTCTTACCCTCTCCACTGTGTACAAACTCATTTTTTTTTTTTTTCTAACAGCATGCTGGAATCTCCTCTTGGGAAGGCTGGACTTCAACAAATTCTCTCTCATCTTTGGGTATTTTCCCAAGTCAGCACTCTCCAGGTCTTCCCTGGCCACAGCCAAGAGCGTTTGGGGCAGGATTGCTGGCTCCCCTGGTCCCATGGCCCTTCCAGATGTCTGTGTATTACCAGATGCACAGGTGGGCAGACTCCTTTTGGGTTCCTTTGTGTATAGTGCTGGATCCCACAACTCCCACAAGGCATTTTTATTCATGGATGGATGCCTAATTAGGTGCTTTAAAAAGGGACAGAAAGGGAGGGACATCCTATGCTGACATAAGAATTTTAAAAAGATGCCCACACATTACATAAGTCAGAGGAAACGTTCAGTTCTCAGTTTTACTGATTTATCTGAACCTTTTTATTTGGGACTTTAAAATATTTAAAAGAAGAATAGAATAATGTTGAAACAAGGTTGTAGAATTTCTTTGCAAACTTTAGAGTAAATTTTAGTCAGGAACTACATCGACTTTTCTTGCTTTTATGACTGTAAATGCTTTTTATAGATCAACTGACTGATTCCCTCTCAACCTTCTTTCCATTGAAACTGTACCACCATGTCCATGTTCACCTGGATCCCTGAAATAGCTCCTAACTGGTCTCCATGGACCTATTCTTGGCTCTCTCAGAGCAGTAGTTCTCAGCAGAGTGGGCCCAGCCCAGTATCAGCATCACCTAGTATCTTAGTCTGGCTGCCATAACAAAGTACCACAGACTGGGTGGCTTAAACAACAGAAGTTTATTTCTCACAATTCAAGAGCCTAGAAGCCCAATATCAAGGTGCCAGCATGGTTGGGCTCTGATAAGGGCTTGCTTCCTGACTTGTAGACAGCTGCCTTCTCACTGTGTCCTTACATGGCACAGAAAGTGAAAGAGATGTCTCTTCTTATAAGGGCACTAATCCCCT